TGCATACATGGGAGGAGCTAGATCCCCTCAATGCATACATGGGAGGAGCTAGATCCCCTCAATGCATACATGGGCGGAGCTAGATCCCCTCAATGCATACATGGGAGGAGCTAGATCCCCTCAGTGCTTACATGGGCGGAGCTAGATCCCCTCAATGCTTACATGGGAGGAGATAGATCCCCCAGTGCTTACATGGCAGGAGATAGATCCCCTCAGTGCTTACATGGCAGGAGATAGATCCCCTCAGTGCATACATGGGAGGAGATAGATCCCCTCAATGCTTACATGGGAGGAGCTAAATCCCCTCAATGCTTACATGGGAGGAGCTAGATCCCCTCAGTGCTTACATGGCAGGAGATAGATCCCCTCAGTGCTTCCATGGCAGGAGATAGATCCCCTCAGTGCATACATGGGAGGAGCTAGATCCCCTCAGTGCTTACATGGGAGGAGATAGATCACCTCAGTGCTTACATGGGAGGAGCTAGATCCCCTCCGTGCTTACATGGGAGGAGACAGATCCCCTCAGTGCTTACATGGGAGGAGCTAGATCCCCTTAATGCATACTGGGAGGTGCTATGTCCCCTCAGTGCTTACATGGGAGGAGATAGATCCCCTCAGTGCTTACATGGGAGGAGATAGATCACCTCAGTGCTTACATGGGAGGAGCTAGATCCCCTCAGTGCATACATGGGAGGAGCTAGATCCCCTCAATGCTTACATGGGAGGAGCTAGATCCCCTCAATGCATACATGGGAGGAGATAGATCCCCTAAGTGCTTACATGGGAGGAGCTAGATCCCCTCAATGCATACATGGGAGGATCTAGATCCCCTCAGTGCTTACATGGGAGGAGCTAGATCCCCTAAGTGCTTACATGGGAGGAGACAGATCCCCTCAGTGCTTACATGGGAGGAGCTAGATCCCCTTAATGCATACTGGGAGGAGCTATGTCCCCTCAGTGCTTACATGGGAGGAGATAGATCCCCTCAGTGCTTACATGGGAGGAGCTAGATCCCCTCAGTGCTTACATGGGAGGAGCTAGATCCCCTCAGTGCTTACATGGGAGGAGCACTGCTTAGAACACACGTAGGAGGAGCTTGATGCGAATGGTGCATACATGGAAGATGATTTCCCGATCTATGTATATGATGTATAGTAGTTACACATAAATCTGGAAGGAGCTTGCCGCGCCCGGAACACATGATAATGGTCACACTAGTCCTATGCTGAGCATGGACACGTTTGAGAAGCTAGTCCCATCTAGTACATAGGATTGAGAATTAATAGCCACACCTAATGCGCACGCGGAATACACTAGCCTCACCCACAACACATGATAGTGAATGTACTACTCCTGCATAATGAACACGTTTCATAATCAAGAGCAAAGAAATTAGAGACAAAATTAATGATTTACAAATGTAACCCTGATTTCAAAGCATAATGTGATGACGCCCTAGTGACGTTATCAGAATAATAGTGCGTGTGAGCTGTCTTTCCCTATGTAGATAAATGACATGCATGTGGACCAACACTAATCAGCGGATATTGTTCACGTCGTCTGCATTTAGAAGATTTCCAATTCAAGTTGAGCTCTACTACCCGAGTATTTATACCAAACATATGTACACTGTCATACCAAGTGCGTATTTACAGACAGATCTACCCCTCAGAAAGTGTAAAGGACGTTAGCCTTTTGTCCATTGTATGTCTAGGATATGTGCTGATGGAGCAAATCTAAAGGCACGCTGCCCAGCACAATATCTAATCGTAACCAAGGGTACGACTAGATAAGTGTACCTGTACTTGACCAGCACATATCTAGTACCCATGCACTAAACCTAGCAATGTATTGTACCTGTTAACTGTAGATCGTTTAGACATGTCCTTTACGCTTGTAGATAAATCTAACCTCGCCCAGTGCACGTGTCAATGGCACGATCTGCCGGACAATCCCATTCTCCTTTGCAACTACAGAAACAGCGGTACTGAAGGCAGCGTTCACGTAACACAAACACAGAGTTGCCAGAATATTTTGTCCCACGTACTGTACAATCTTTACATCGGCGGTCACCTCCACATACATTACGCGTCAGATCAGCTGGACAGTTATAGGAACCATTACAGCCGCAGTCACATGCGAACCTGTCACATCCCTCCGTGTACTGAAATCGACTATTTGGGCGATACCTTCGACCACCCACTACGCATGCGCTGCAACGTGGTCTTCCTACTCTCCTTTCGGATCTGTCAGTTTGAACACTTTTCTGGCAGTTAGGAATAGCGGAGTTGAATTGGCAGTCCCACGCGCCGTTGCAACTACAGTGACACCGGTAGCGCACACAGTCGTTTTCGTGGTAGAAATCCGTATTTGGCTGTTGAACTGTCCCATTCACCACACACTGGGTGCATGACTTTGATCCAACTGCGGCTCCACACATGTTTTCTGTACGACTCGCTGGACAACTGTACGAACCATTGCAGAAACAGTCACAGCTGAAGCGTAAGCATCCATCATCGTATTGGAAAAACGTGTCAGGATCGTATGACTCGCCGTTCTTATGACATTTCCTGCAGTTCTCGCGCACGGGTTCTTCACACGTGTTTACTGTCCTTTCTGGCGGGCAGCTGTACGAGCCGTCACAACTACAATTACAGCTGTACAAGAAACAGTCCTCTTCATATTGAAATTGCGAATTACCATGGTAAGGTCGGTCGTTCACAACACATTGCTGGCAACCGCCATCACATAAATATTCTGTGTCGCGACTCGGGCAGTCGTACGATCCATCGCACGCACAGTCACAATTAAACCTATAACAGTCTTCAATGTACTGGAAGTGTGAGTCGGACGGAAAGCGGGTACCATTTACCACACACTCACGACAACCATCATCGCGTGGTCTTTCCTCCTCCGAACAAACGTTCTCCCTCGAACATTCGTGCTGTCCGTCGCAGTCGCACGTACACACGGAACGTATACAGCCATTGCGGTACTGGAACCTTGTGTTAGGCTGTCGCTCCTGATCGTTCACTATACAAGACGTGCATGCTACAGCTTGCTCCTCCTCTTCGTCTCGGTCTGGTACGCTCCCTTCCTCACACACATTGATGACGTCACCAGGCAAACACGTGTATCTACCATTGCAGTGACACGTGCACTGGTATTTTCTGCACTCGTCATAGTCTATCAGGAATCTAAAATGTTAAAAGGACTGAATTAACACCATAATATATCGTATTTCATATATTAAGTCCGACATCATAACGGATGCTCAAACCCAGACAATCTTTCGTTTAAAACAAGAAATCAAAAGTGGAACCTATAAAAACTGATGCCGCTTTGAGCTATAAAGATTACACTTACCTTGAGCCGAACACATGTGTCTGTTCCCTCACTGTACATAACTTGCACTGGTCGGGACACAGGATCCGTGGTCTCTGGCTTGGGCACATCCACGACCCATCACAGTTGCATGAACAATTGAACCCTTTACATCCGTCATCGTAACGAAAGTTCGATCCACCTTGATATGTATATCCTGCCACTTCACACACACTGCATTCCTGACGTCCTGTCTCTGTTCTTCGTCGTGTCTCGGTGGTGCCATGGCGCTCCTCATATTCATAGTAAAACATTTTGGAACTAGAGGACTCTGAAGACGACGACGAGGAGGAGGAGGAGGAGGATGACGAGGAGGATATTGAACCAATCGATGTTGACCCAGATCTGCTACCAGAGGATCTAGCGCCACCAGAGGAATGTCCACTCCTAGAGACAGAACTATCGAAAGACCCAGAACTACTTGATGATGTTGATGAGGAATCACCTGTCCCTGAACCCGATGACTTGGTACTTACTGTTCGTGATCCAGTTGTCCGAGTTTCTACTGTCTGTGAGCTTGATGTCTGAATGCCTTGTGACCGAGAGCCTACAGTCCCAGTTTCACTTGTTCGAGATCCTGTGGTCTGGGTATCTCGTGTTCGAGATCCTGTTGTCTGGGGGCTTTGTGTTCTAGAGCCTTTAGTTTGTGTGTCAACTTTCTTGGATCCACCCGTGTTTCTTTCCTGGCATCCCCATGTAGGGATTTGTCGAGGACAGTTCCAGGCGCCATCACAAGAACAAAAGCATTGAAATTTCTTGCAGCTCACTATATGGTAAAACTCGCTTCCTCCCTTATACGGCTGGCTATTGATCACGCATATTCCACATCCTCCTGCTTCTATTTCCGCCCTACTCAGCATCACCTCGGAACGTCCCTGTCGGACTTCATACTCGTAAAACGTAGTGCGCGATACCGTTTGGGAAGACCCTGTCGATGTAGGCGTAGTCGATCCACACAGACGCGCAGGCTTTTGCCGTGGACATACCCATGATCCGCCACATTTACAGGTACACTGGAAACGTTTACATCCGTCGTCGAGCTGGAAGTCTCGTCTGCCTGGATAACTCTGACCATTAATGACGCATGGAGCACAACGACCATCCCCGCTATTCTCGCCATTTCGTACCGTGGTTGTACTTCCGTCGATTGACGCATATGTCTCGTAGTAGGATGTTTCAACTTGGGTGTTCGTTTGTGTGTTCGTAGTGCGCGATACCGTTTGGGAAGACCCTGTCGATGTAGGCGTGGTCGAGCCACACAGACGCTCAGGCTTTTGCCGTGGACATATCCATGATCCCCCACATTTACAGGTACACTGGAAACGCTTACATCCGTCGTCGAGCTGGAAGTCTCGCCTGCCTTCATAACTCTGACCGTTTATGACGCAAGGAGCACAACGACCATCCCGGCCATCCTCGACATTTCGTACCGTGATTGTACTTCCATCGATGGATGCATATGTCTCGTAGTAGGATGTCCCGGTCCTCCTCCCAGTTGAATTGTCTGTCACACTCGTCCGACTTGATGTATTTCCCGTTCTGTCTGTTTGCCTTGTACTGCTGTCTGTACGCGTTGTATCTACAGTAGTCGAGGTTTTGGCAGAGGCTATAACATTTCCGTCACTGTCACAGATATTGATAGGATTTCCTGTCTCGCAGGCATAGCGTCCGTTACAGTAGCACACACACTTATAACGTTTACAGCGTCGATCTACATAAAATACAACATTGACGTGATAGCTACTTCCGTCAACAGTACAAGTTTGGCAGTTGGTCTGATCAGTAGCAGCGATCGTTCTGTTTCGTTCTCGTTCACGTTCTCGAGCACGAGTACGCCCAGCTTCTTCTCTTTCTAAACGTTGTCGGTTTTCTGCTTCCTCTCTAGCACGACGGATTGCATCTACCCTTTCACGGCGAACTTCTTTCTCCCTCTCTCGATGAACTGCTTCTTCCCTTTCCCTGCGGGCAGTTTCCTCGTTTTCTCGACGTTCAATTTCATTACGATTACGACGATCAGCCTCCTCTTGGGCTCGACGTCGTTCAGCTTCCTCCTCGGCTCGACGTCGTTCTGCCTCCTCCTGGGCGGCCCGTACTCGTTCTTCTTCTTCTTGGGCTTGACGCCGTTCAGGTTCCCCCTCGACTCGACGTCGTTCTGCCTCCTCCTGAGCGGCCCGTACTCGTTCTTCTTCCTCTTGAGCTCGACGCCGATCAGCTTCCCCTTCGACTCGACGCCGTTCAACCTCATCCTGGGCTTGACGTCTTTCAGCTTCCTCCTGGGCTCTACGTCGTTCAGCCTTCTCCTGGGTACGTATTCGTTCAGCTTCCTCTCGATTTTGGCGTTCTATTTCTTCCCTTTCTCGACGGGCGTCTTCTTCTATTTGTTGGCGTGCATTTTCTTCCCTTTCTCGCCTTAATGCTTCTTCTCTTTGCTGGCGTTCAATTTCTTCCCGATTACGACGCTCAGCCTCCCCCTGGGCTCGTCGCCGTGATTCTTCCCTCTCCAGACGGGCAGCTTCCTCCTGTCGCGCTATTTCCTCCTGGCGAAATATTTCCTCTCGTCGTTCTGTTGTCGTTCTAGACGTTTCAATACGAGTTGGCCTCCTATCGCGAGTGTTGGAAGCTTCTACTGATGTGATTACTGTTCGTGTTGAAGTTGACCCTCCTCCAGTGTTTATTGCTCCGGAAGGTCTGGTACCAATATGCACGCTCGTACTGCCGACAACGCTAGTACTTCCCTGGCCAACATTAACTACAGTTTCAAAACCACCAGTATTGCCAGTACACGCGTTCGTGCCAGTACCAACGCAGTAGTGGCTTCCGTTACAGAAACAATGACACTTAAAGGCTTTACAACCTTCTCTATTGGTGAACTTGCTATTTGGAGGATAGTCTTTGTTATTGATTCTACAAGGCACACAGCCAGTATCATCTGTCACGACGCTGCCGTCGTCGTCATTACAAGTGTACTCAGCTGTCTGGCTATCGCAGTCAGGCTGACCATTACAGCCACACGTACATTGCTGACGCCAACATCCGCGCTGAAGAACGAGCGGCTGATTTGTTGTGTAAGTCCTTCCAGCCACGACACATTCCCGACACTCCTGTATGGGCGACGTGCCACATGTGTTGACAGGAGCTGTACATCTGTGGAGGCCGTTACAACCACACTGACACGTGTACCTAAGGCAGTCCCTCTGCGTGTTGAATATGGAATTTGGCGGGTATATTTGACCGTCCACGCGGCATTCACTGCAACCATTGTCGGGGATGGCTGTACTGTCGGTGTTACAGTTAGTAATAAGTGTTTGGATGCACACAGCTCGACCACTACATTCACACAAGCACGATAAAGAGTTACATTCCTTCCTGAATGTGAACTGGCTTAGTGCTTGATAGCGTCTCCCCTCAACTGTACAGCGCCTACAACCCACACCTGTGTTCTGATTTTGACAATCGATAAACCCTGCTGGTTTGCACGTGGCCTCTCCGCTGCATGCACATGTGCAGTGGTATCGGATGCATCCCCGCGTGTAGTCAAATTGTGAATTTGTAGCATATTGTACGTTGTTGACAATGCATATGCTACATTGACCTGTATTTCCCGTTACCACCGCTGTGCCACCAGTACCACCTCTTACCACCGTTGTTGTGGTTGTGGTCCTACTGGTACTTCGCCCAGGGGTCACAAATACCCCGTACGAGTTCCCACCCCTAGTCGTTGTGCGATCCCTAGTGACAACAGACCCTTGTCCACCAGTCGTTCCGGTAGTCACTCTGACAGTTCCGCCCCTATTTGACGTAGATCCAGTGGTCACTACACTGCCACCGCGTGTATTAGTCGTGCTACCACTGGTCACTCTCACACTCCCACCTCTGTTCACTGTCCTACTAGAATCGACAATGGTACCCTGAACACCTGTCCTCGTTGGAGTGCTGCTACCTGAACTCCCACCGCTGCTACTTGTGCTACCTCCGCCAGTGCGAATCACAGTAGTCCCAGGCCTAGAATCGACAATAGTTCCTTGAACACCTGTTGTCCTCGTTGAAGAACTACTACTTGAACTACCACCGCTGCTACTTGTGCGACCTCCGTCGGTGCGAATCACAGTAGAACCCGGCCTAGAATCGACAATTGTACCCTGAACACCTGTTGTCCTCGTTGAAGAGCTGCTACTTGAACTCCCACCGCTGCTACTTGTGCGACCTCCGCCCGTGCGAATCACAGAAGAACCAGGCCTACTGCCGAGCGATCCCCTAGCAATGATTGCCGTTCCGCACGCTAGGTTTCCACCGGATTTGCATACAGAAAGACCGCTGCAGGTACATCGACATCGGTACGTAGTACAACCGACGTCAATGCTAAATTTGGCACGTGGAGAAAACGTCTCTCCGTTCATGATACACTGTCGACATCGGTCACGGGTTCTGGTAGTGATGGAAGAATCTCGTGACCCAGCACCACACTCATTGTCCACTGAAGTAGAAGTTCGGTAACCGCCATTGCAGTAACATCTTACGTGGTGATTGACACATCTTTCCCTGTAGTCGAACTGCGAGTTACCCGGATATGTATGTCCGTTAATGACGCATTTCTTGCACCATGACGCCGGAATGTTGCTGACAGATTGAATCTGAAACTGTTGTAAGTTATTGTCGGCACATGAAACCGTGGCAGAAGCAGCAGGACACTCCCAGTGTCCGTCACAACTACACCGACAATTGTAATCGATACATCCCCACTGTAGATGAAAAACACTACGCGAGGTATACCTGTTTCCGCTTACTAGGCAGTCCCGACACCCCGTTGACGTCTGTTGTTGAGATCCACACATATACGTGACTCGTGAATTGGAACACTGCCAGCCACCTGCACAATCACACTCACAATCATAACGCCAGCAGTCCTCTTCCAACTGGAATCTGGAATAGCCCTCTACACGAGTGCCGTATACATCACAGGAGTAGCAGCCCGACGTTGTATTCTGTCGGCATGTATCGACTGCGTTCTCCCCTGGACAATCCCATGATCCATCACATCGACACGTGCAGTCCTCGTAGCGTATACAGCCGTCTGTGTGAGAGAAAAACGAATTCCCTTCGTATCGCTGATTATGGACGTTACAATAAAAACAACCAGTTGTGGCGTTCTGGTTGCACGTATCGATCGTTCTGTTGACAGGACATGTCCATGCTCCATCGCATTTACAGTCACAGTTAAACTGGTGACAACCTTCCTGCATTTGGAATTGGGTATTTCCCTGGTACACACGTCCCTTTACGTCACACGTGAGGCAGCGGTCGGTACACACCCACTTGGCGTTCTCCTTGGGACATCGGTACGATCCATTACAGCTGCAGATACACGGGTCCCATTCCCAGCAGTCCTCCTGATGTTTAAAGTTAGTGCCTCCTTCGTAAATTCGCCCATCGACATCACACTGCAGACAGCGGTCACTGCATATCCAATTTCCGTTCTCAGATGGACAGTTCCAGGAACCGTCGCATTTACATGTACAAGGGTCATATTCAACACACTCTTGCTCCTTCCGATACACGAATTCCGTATTCCCGTCATACAACTGTCCGTCTACCTCGCACTGTCGACAGACATTGTCGCATATCCATCTAGCACGGTTTGGCTGGCACTGCCATCCTCCATCACACTCGCAACGACACTCTTGCCATTCCACGCAACCGTTCCGATAAGTAAAGGAAGTATCAGGTGAGTAAAAAGTTCCGTGGACATCGCATGATATACACCCATACTGGTTCTGGCGACCCGTCAATACACCCAGTCCAAGGTCAGCACGTGCATCTGAGCATATGTTGGTCCCCGTCTCAGCCGAGCATTGCCAGTACCCAGTACAGTTACAATAACACGATTGATATTCTATACAGCTGTTTGTATATTTAAAGTATGAATTAGCCGCAATTTGCTGGCCATTCACTAAACATTTTGTATTACAATTTTCGTCACGTGACCCCGTTAGTACCCCTACACCCCCTGATCCACCAGATGACGAGGACGAGGACGACGTTCGCTGTCCTGATGAGGAAGATGACTCGTAAGAATACGATGTTGAAGATGATGTTCCAGTATTTCTACCAGAGGAAGACGACGATTCACCGGTATTTGTCCCAGACGTCGATGACCCTGAGTATTCTGTCCTTGAACCCGTCCGGTAGTTGGTGCCCCGAGAGCCATTCTGACGGTCAGGACACGTGTATCTGGCAGTCTGACACGTCCATGAACCGTTGCAACGACAGTAACATCCGGTCATTTCCTCACAACCTCGCCGGTAGTCGAACGCGCTGTTACTCGGATAAAAGATTCCTTTGACTTCACACTCCCGGCACGCATCAGGATCGGGTGCGTTGTTGTCAGGGTTACAAAGATCCACGCCGTCATAACAACGCCAATTGCCGTCACAGAAACAACGACACTTTGAGTACTCAATACATCCATTCCTCAAACTAAAGTCACTGTTCCCCTCAAATGTCATTCCGTTTATCTCGCAAATGGTGTTGCAAACTGAAACAAATCAATAAGCTAAATAACTGGACGAGTCTGAATAATCTTTATTTGAATAACATACTGACCAATTTTAAGACTTTTTTTATTTTAGATTATTTTATTTTTTGTGAGTGGTTCAATAAGATATATTACCTCTTAGATGTACGAAAATGTTCTTTTCTTAAGGGATTTTGGTGCATGTTTCTCGGCCATGTACGTTTGTAAAACTGTTTTTAATGAAAATTTGTTATATTTATAATTAGCCGATTTGTCATATGCTCTATAGTAACCATACTTAGTTGGTCTTCAGAGCTGATGTTTTCGTTATATAAATAAATATTAATACAAACCTGCAGCTTGATCGTCTTCTTGGTCATTTGAAGAACCAAGATGGAGGCCGTACCCTCGACCATGACCTGTCAAATGAACACTTCTAATCAGTACAGTTTTTCGTTATAAGACACCATTCAGGGGTTATATAGGGGGGGTGTTCATTTCAACAAATACCAAAATGTGTTCAGATGAAATTTCCATATTTCTTCCTAGAGTTATCGGTCCTGTTCCATACCATTTACCATGGTCGAGCGCTGTTACATCAAATTTGTTAAACATGCTGATAAACAACAACCAGTCACTTCCTTGCTTCCAAATCTTTTACGCTTGCGCAGATCATGAAAAGTTGTTCTGGTCCAACCAAAGGAAATCTGCATTTATGTAAGTTTATGGAACATGAACGATAACTCTGGATACAATTTTGTGTTTTACAACACCAAAAATATACAGTGTATTCAGACGGAAGAAACTCGTTTGTATTATCATGTAAATTCTGTTCGTATTTTAGATCAAGGAAAGAGGAGGTTAAGTGGTCGCGTCTGTGATGACCACAAAGACACAGTGCATGTATGTAATATGAGATCTTCCCTAATATATAGGTAGTAATAGGCGTTTACGGAAATTACATTAACAGCTAACAACGATATCTCCCACACTACTCTCCGAATAGTTCTAGCGCATATACTGCGCATTTGAGAGAAAAAAATCAAAATATATACGGTGCGTTCATTCTTAGCTCCCTTTGGCGATGATATTTGTTAATTCATTAAATGATAACACCTGTGGGATTCACCTGTGTGACGTCAGACTCACCTGCAGCAGAGACTATGACTGACCACGCCCCAATCAGTAGGGCCACGCCCACTAACAACTGTAAAAGAACAAAACTTATATTAATTTTATCACATACACCGTTTAAAAAATGTTAGACAAATACAATGAAATGCAGTGGAAGATTCAGCTGAAAAACAACTTTTAATGGCTGTATTGCACTAAACTCATCCAGGTTGCAATTTCACGAATTGTTCCATTACTTTTTTCCATAACTTTTGTTTAGTTTCGTTGTTTTTCAATTGGAAAGCATTGCTGAGGTAAGAAAACAAATCAGAACGTTATACGATTGTTTCCTATACCACAGTAATACTTTCCGATGTAATAAACGATTCTTATTTCCGTTAGTTTCCAATGTTCATTTAACTTGACTTTTAACATATTTTATACCATGGATAAAATATAAAACGTACAAGTGTTTACGTAAACACAGTGCCCAGTTTCCACGCCTGGTAAGCTTAAAGCTTAGAGCAAAACTTTAGACTAGTGTAGTTTTCAAAAGATATTGAAATTAAAAACTAAAATTTCATGTGCATAGATTCATAAAGATCAACTGAAGAAATAAAACACGTCACTATTGGTAAGTTTAGAGATACTTCTCTTATATAACTGGTTCGCTTCCCTGTTCTCGTTATCTTTCACAATCAAGCCATAGGCTGTACCCTTCTTTATGTCAAACATTCAAACTCATGTATATACAACTTTATTTTATTACGATAAAACCTCTTCATGCAACCATCTCTATCATGGGACCATCTGTGTAAAAGACAACTTTAAATGTTCCTCATTGTAGTAATTTCATTGTAAATTGAACATGTATTAAAAATATGTGAAAGAGGTATCTCGCCTGTGTAGAGAAACCTCTTTTTGGACTTCCCAATGGTACAGGTTTGTGTGTAAAATAGATAATAACATTCTTTATTACCTTAAACCTTGCGGTGTATCAGTACAGTGCACATGTATATACAAGCAAAGAATACAACACTCCGACCATGCATACATGCTAAAATTAAAGCGATAGTGTAGAGAGTGATTCCTTTCAGCTTAAACAGTAGTGCATCTCCTGTTTTTACTTTGGCTCAGATATTTTGTTAAATTAGACAGTTCTTTATTATTTCTTGTTGTCATCAAATCTAAACATTTTGCCATACTAGGTTTTTTATGATAATATTTGTTAATAAAACGGTTTCTAAAATCAGTATAATGACTTCATTTCATAATAAAATGATATTCGTCTTCAATATCACCAGTGTTACATTATATACAAATTCTATCCTTTCTCTATAAACAATGAAATCTACCCGTTTCAATATTCAACGTATGTGATGACAACCGAATTTTAGCAATTTGTTTTATATTTTGTAATCCAATAGGTTTAATTAACTACTGAGACAAAAAATACCACAGATCCATTTTTAAAAAGCATATCTACGAATACATGAAGCAAGACCTACTACACGTACGGTGTATAAGCAAAATACTATTTGATCTCGTATACTAATGCAACTTAACACTTACACGCAATACGAGATCAAATAGTAGTTTGCTTATACACCGTAGTAGGTCTTGCTTCGTGTATTCATAGACATACTTTGATATAGGTAAATTCTATTATACACATGCATTTATCGCCATTAAACTACACAACAGCCGATATTAATGCATTCTATTTTCCACCATTAACGGCGGTACTTGAAGATGTACGGCAAGTAGTACGTATTGTATAAGACTTTGAGAACTCGTTTACAGCCATCCTTGCGCTCTCGTAACTCTCACGTGTACCACACGCGTATAGATAGCTATCAGTTGCAGAGCTAAGTTACACAAGTAGGATGACAGCATCTTACGCAACTTACATGCACAACGGGGGATGGTTACTGTCAATTACGGTAATGAGGGTGGGGGGTCGTCATCTGAATTTCTGATATTGATATAGGGCTCAAATAGTGGTAACTGAAACACCTTAGGTCGAACCTTTTTGAATGTTTTAATGTGTGTTACGTGCGTGTATAATGTAGAGATTGAACGCCATTTTTGCAATATTCGTAACAGCATGAACATTGAAAAAATGCGTTCAATAATGTAATATTATTATTTATCTAAAAATAAGTATTCCCATATATTTTTGATAAACAAAATTCCTTGAACAGATTAGCGTCATCAAAATGGTTGCTTCTAACGGTTGCCTCACATTATTTGAGACGGGAAAAGAAGCTTCGAAATGATGCTGATGAAATTGTATTTTATAACATTTGAACGCATTTTCTTCTGGTTTTGCTTAAATTAACTGAAATGATTGTAACGAGGTGTTTTTTTGTCACACAGGTTTGGTTGTTAAATGGATTTTTGAATAGAGGTTTGGCCGTTGTGACATTTTTTATAGAGGTTTGGTTGTAGATTGTAACATGGATAACATGTATTGAAACTTTGTTGTTTTTGTATGGATTGTTTTATAAGAAGGTTGTTTTTCATGAGTTGTTTGTGTAGATTGCTGATGTTAGCTTTGATTGTTTGTATGGGAGATTGATTTTAGCATTGATTCATTATGTAAAGGATTGTTTAAACATGGATTCATTATGTGTAGGATTGCTTTAACATGTGTCACCCTGGTAAAATACTAGCCACTTCCTACCGTCTCGGCTAGGTAGAATTTCTCTTTAGCTAATTCGGTAGAGCGTAAGACTAGTAAGCCAGGTCCTGGGTTCGACTCCTAGCGGAGGCATTGAAAAAATAATTACCTCTAATTCACATGGCTTAATTATGTAAAGGATTGTTTTAACATGGATCTTTTGTATAGAGGGAATTTTACATGAATCCTGTGCAGAGGACGTTTGTTGTAATATTGATACCAGTTTGTACATGTAGTAAGGGCTGCTTGTAACATAAATTGTTTATATTTTGTAGAACGTGAAACATCGTACTGTAATATTTACATTTCCTTTGAACAATCCTTAGATAAATCTACTAACCAAAATTTTTATTTTAATCGAATAGCAGCAAAATTAAACGTGATTGTATTCCGGTCGGAAACTTTTTGTGTTTTCTCGTCAAACTGTTGAGTAAATGAGGACCAACCGTGACGTGACGTCAAATTCAAATTGAGAAAAAACGGAACTGGTAACCATAGAAAACACCATCTTGTTTCCCGCAAAAATGTCTGTTCAATCAATTGGTAAAACAATTTGTTTTAGTTGTATATTGAACCGAATAAGACAACAGAGAACGCTAAGACAATTCGTTTCTTTGCTGGATTGAAATACATATATTCAGCATTTATTACAGGTTTGAAACATGGTTCCGTTCAATTATATTTTCCAAGATGCGTTACCGTGCATCATTTACTATTATGTTCCAACGGAACGATGTTTCCATTAGAAATGCTTTATTAAAAGAAAAAATTATCATTCCTTAAGTTGTGTTTGTAGTTTTTGCATGGCTGATTTGATCGGTATGTTTTATCTATTGATATTTTTTTCCAACAGGGGTCGTATCTTCCTTGTATTTATAATGAACGTAAATTGAACATTTTGCATACAAAACGTAGACATCAGTGTAGTCCACTTAAGTATGATCTTTATAGAGTAAATCTTGTTGATAGTCCAGATTTGCCTTTCACTTTCTTTGTGAGTGCTTTACTTTTTAACAACGGAAGACACATTCTGCTCTAATGTCAATCTGATTAAAATCATATGTTACTGCCGCGGTCGGGTCACGTTCAAGTGACCTTTAGGTGAACCAATCAGAGGCGCGCTGGCAAAAGACTGCCAGCGAATCGGAATATCATGATTGATAGATGAATAGCGAGGGGTATCGAACAGATTAGTTTTCCAAAACAAATATGGCGGCGGGAACTTAAGTTTCTACGACGCCAAGGAAAACGTACCCATTGGGTAATAATTGCGTAGGCAACACCGCCATACAGTCTTTCTTCTCTAATAAAGCTTCGAATATCTTTTTCTGTTCGGGTTTCAGACGATCAATCTCAAATAACTTCAGAACTTTCGCATCATTCTCATCAATGTCCGCCATATTTGTTACAACTCCGAGCGCCCTTTTGAAAGAGGGTCTCTGGATTGGTCAAAACTTAATGTGACCGCGGCACAATCAGATGTTCAGGCGTAGTACGAAGTTAACGAAGCCATGTAACATATGATTTTAATCAGATTGCTCCAATGTTTGAATGCCTTGAATGTTGATTTAAATTTAGAACAGCTTTTGTTTGGAAATAGTCAACTTTCGGTAGAAATCAATACAAAAATTTGACATGTGCATCATTACATCAAAACCAGCAATAGGTTTTGATAACTATAAATAATTTTCCTTATTTTTATTTATGTGTGTACGTTGTTATGTGTTTATGAAATGGCATTTCATTATTTCTCCTCATTTCTTTGTTACATTGATTCTGTTAATTTTGAAATCACTCTACCAGGATGCATGTCATGAAATTTGCATAATTTAAATTTATTCAAATGTAGATCCATTTCATAGTTTACACGATTTCCTTCTAGATACCCCCCACCCCCTGCCGTCCCCACCTTTCCTTCTTCACACTCTCCTTCTTCCTTTTCCCAAAAAACATATACATTCTAATACCATGTGTATTGAGGAGAGGACTATATTAAGTTGAAATAACTTGTTGTCCAATCCATTTGTACAATCAAATATGTTTAAACTAAACTGTATTTATAAGACGCATTTAAAAGGGCATCGATATTTAGGATAAACAAAATTACATTAAAGGGGTGGGTGAAAGGGAAGCAATATTTAAGTTATGTATCATATATTCCAAAAATAACAATTGACTATGACAATGAGGTATTTTCGTTCAGGATATCATGTGGAGTTTTTATCAGGGAAATTACGGTAAGTTGGATACACGAGTAAAAATATCATATCTCGCCTGTCACGTGAATCACGTGTTTAGCTGCTGACTATCCCCGAAACCTGTTGACGCTAACTGCTTCCCCATGTTTCCTGTCATTTCTCAATCACCCTTCTCTCCCGTCGACACTCTCACCCCAACCGGCGCATAGTATACGTAGCCCGCACGTGATTTACTCGACACCTCTAGGATATGACGTCATCACTTCCTTCAAAAATGCGTATTTATATGTGTTTTATTGTAACCTTCTTCAACCCACTCACCGGGAAGACAACAAACTTGGATAAACATGTTTACGTGGTGAGTGGGAATGGCTTCATACAATATGCATGTCTTTAATGTCTGCAACAATTAAAAACAAAATATATACAATGGAAACAAGTATGAACAAAAATGTGACAAAATAACACGACTCACGCAAATGCTAATATTGTGATCGATATTTAACGTCATATCTATCGGACTACTCTCGAACACCTGTTATCAGAAACGAAACCAAATGATAATTGTGGAAGGATCCACATTTACATGTACACCCTTAACAAAAACTGGGGTTTACATTACGTCTTAAAAAAACAAAAACAAAACATATGCGAACACCCGGCTCTGAGCCGATGGCGATGTATACCTTGTTGATTTTGTATTGTGGTATTGTTTTTGTCCTTACATTTAAATCTATGAACCTTCTCAATAAACGTATAATTACCTGGAATGATTTGCTATGTTACGCTGCGAAAATATAATAGGAATATTTCATGTTGATGTCAACCATTTTTCTGGAAATATCAGCCACATAAGAAAGTTTAGAGCTACTACAATGAAAACAAACGGTATAACGCATCCCCGTGTAAGGTTTTCGTGTCTTATTTTATACACTCACCGTACATCGTTGACATGTACGAGAAAGACGTAATGTGCGATGTAGCGTGTTGCGTAAAATATTTAAGAGTTAAAGTGGGTGAATAAATGCCTCTTGACATGTAAATGATGTCACAATGACTTTAAACAGTATCAAAAGTCTGGATCCCTAGGGACTATTCGGGACCACATCCTCCCCAGTACTCGTCCCACAATTAAGTGGCTTCCGGTTTACCGGCATTACAATGGCGGAAAGTCTAGACCGGAAATACACCCCCTTGACATGTAGATTATCAACATATCAGACTTACTTGTCAGAAGAGTTCTTTTCTTGTCGGTGAGAAGAAATCGGACTCAAGTAGGTTACTGACTAATAATGTATGCGAAGCAAGCGAATAAATAAACAGGATGATAAAAGTATTCGAAAACGAGGCAGGATTTTACAGAAACTAATATAACACACACACAAAACCATTTTGTCACATACAATCATGATTTTACGCGCAAGGAAAATGTGTTAACTGTCCCAAGTAATTTAATTCAGAGTGTTCGAATATCTCAGTATCATGATATTTGGCGGTACGCTCACATGCATGATCCCTGTGGCCGTGAGAGCTAGAACCTTTGGTAGCGTGTAAACATCGCTGAGCTGGTAGGCACGGGTTCGATCCGCGACACTGGTGTCAAAATTGTGTCCGACTTTTTATCAGGGTCTAGATTTTTGTTTTTATAAATTCAGTGTTAGATGGCTTATCCGCGTCGTCTCGATTTGTATGTGGAACGGAAATGAAAGAGGACAAGGAGAGACAGATTAAACATTCCATTGTTTTACTGAATACAGGCTTTAGAAAGTTATGTTATTGTAAAATTTATGTTATTTCATCTATATTAAGAAAAAGGCAACTAGAAGTTCCGGTTTTTTTAAAGGAAGTTAGAACATTTTGAAATAAACCCCAAAGTAATGTTTCAGAAATGTGTATTCATAACGAATTCCATGAGCAGTAGCGCAGCGGTTCGAATCTCTTATCGGAGCCAAAATGTTTTTCTTTGAGAACAAAGAAATTGAAATTATAAATGTTTTTCTGAATTAGTAATACTAGGGCTGCAACGACATGTATACCTCACGGTACGATACGTATCACGGTATGGTACTTTAGATACGATACGTACATGTAACATGCTATGATACTCACGATACGATACGTATCACGGTATGATACTTACGGTACTATACTATCACAGTATGATGCTTACGGCACGATACGTATCATGGTATGATGCTTACGGTATGATACGTATCACGGTATGATACTTACGGTACGATACGTATCACGATACGCGTATCTGTTCAAAAGGTCAACTTCGTAATGATTGAGTGCAAGATTGTACAGAGTTTTGTCATATATTTAGTTATATACGTATGGTAAATACTGTCAAACTATAGTTTTTAGTAAAAAAAAGTCACATTTGGCCACACCTTTACTAAATGATTCCAAAACAATAAGTAAACTCTCCGAATTTTATATAAAAAAAGGATTTTCGTACCTTTCATGTATCGCGATACAGGCGAACACAACGATTTGAACGATAGTATCGTTCAAATCGTTGTGTTAGCCTGTATCGCGATACATAAGAAAGAATCGCGATACGATACGATATATCGTTACAGCCATAGTTAACATTATGTTGTAGTAAATGTGCAAGCAATTCTGGAATATAAACAAACTGGAGAACTCTTCTTCCTTGGAGGTAAAGCACAGCACAAGTACACTCCACGTGTGTCTTAAAAGTTTACTCATGTTTGCGTAAAGGTAATTGAGCTAATTGGTAATCTAAAGGGTTTTTCATGTGCTCCAAATCACATTTAATATAAAATGCCAAGATAGTCACTGCAGGAGCCTTTGAAGATGTTCAGACTTCTCAATCTCATTACATCATTATATAGATACTTAGCTTTGAACGATTACCAAACACATGTACAGAAATGGCATGCAATAATACGTTATTATTCTCAAGTAAATTGGGTCAGGATTTCCTCCAATAATAATAATAATAATTCGAAGTTTTTCTATACCGCTTTATCACAACCTAGTTCGTAGGTCGTCTCTAAGTTGTTTGAATTATTGCTGCCATTTCGGCGCTTACAGCTAGCATTCAACAATTCTAGCACTGCCCAACCACGCACTCATGTCTAACTGAGTAGACTGTAACAAGCAGAGTAAAGGATACAACACAGTGCCGTGACGTGACTCGAACTCGCAATACATAAGTGTATATACAAGTTTATCTGGTTTCCTCGGTTACATTAAAATGGATAAGTGCCAAGATAAGTGTTAGATGTTAGATTCGGGGTTATTAAGGAGTACGATCTATTAGTAAACACTGTGAGCATTGAATAGTTAGTGTTGTCAGTATTTAGTAAAGTAGTAGGCTTTAAGTATTGTGATTATTTAGCAGTGAGAGCTGTGAGTATTTATAAGTAATTGTTGCGAGTAATTTGCTGTAATTGTTGTAGGTGTTTTTAGGTCACCTGAACTTTGCTCAAGTGACCTATTCTAATCGCTTTCCGTCCGGCGTCGTCCGTCGTCGTCTGTCGTGCGTCGTGCGTAAACTTTTTACATTTTCAACTTCTTCTCAAGAACCAGTGGATGGATTTTTTTCAAACTTGGTCAGAATCATCCTTGGTAGATGAGGCTACAAAATTGTAAAATTGGGATTCCTAATCCCAGCTATTCGTTCTCCCTTGGGGAGGGGGTAAAGTTTACTATAGTTTATATAGGGAAATAGCACTTTTGTGTATATTTTGACATCTTTCTGTAGGAAATTATTTTTACTTAGTGAGAATTATCCTTGGAGGAAGATGGTTTCAAATTGTAAAATTGAGATTCCTACCCCAACCCCTGGGGCCAGGGCGGGGCCCCAAAGGGAAAATTAACCAATATTTCAAAATCTTCTTCTCCAGACTCAGAGGTACTACAGTCATTTTCTCTACATGGAAAGAAAGAGCATCAGGGGCTTCACTTAAATTGTAAATTTCAGGACCCCGAGCTATTCGTTCTCCCTTGGGGAGGGGGTAAAGTTTACTATAGTTTATATAAGGAAATAACACTTTGGGGTATATATTTTATCCATTTTCAGCAGAAAATTACTCAAGCTTAGTCAGAATCATCTTTGGTGAATGAGAGTATAACTTTGTAAAACTGTGATTCCTGCCCCATCCCCAGGGGCTAGGGAGGGGCCCCAAAGGGAACATTTACCAATATTTTCAAATTCTTATCCTTTGATGATATGACAAGTATTGTATTTCAGTTAGTTTACATGCTGATTTCCACATCACATCTAAACAATAAAATAAAGCTACCAGTACCTATGATGTAACTCAGGTGACCGCCAAGGCCCTTGGGCCTCTTGTTGTAGTAGGAATTGCGATTATTGAAAAGTTAGTGTTGTGCGTATTCATCGAGTAGTATGCTTTAAGTGTTGCGAGTATCCAGCAGTGGCAGTTTTGAGTATTAGTAATTGCAAGTAATTATTTTTGTAACTGTTATATTTTTGTAGTAAGAGTTGCAAGTACGAACAGTAAGAGATGTAAGCATTAAGGCGTAAGATATGTGAGTAATTTGTACAAAGAGTTGTAAGTATTTATTTATAATTCTTGTGAGTATCAGGTGTTCAATGTTGTGAGTACAGGAATTAGTATCAGATATTGTGAGTATTAAGTGTTAAATATTGTGAGTATTTAGCAGTACCTGTTGTGGATATATAGAATATTAAGAAGTTGTTTAGTATTTGTATACAGTACACATCTAAAACATCTCTTACAAGTTCTTAAAGCTAGCACGTGCACACATACCTTGTAAAGGTGGTCCATTCGTTTGTTCGTAACTATCCACACCGGTATTTGGCTTTTTCACATAACCATAGCTTAGAATTTTGAGTAGTAAGTGGTTCTCTGCTGGATCCCACTGTCCCAGCTAAGTTGTAGCAAGTAAAGGCCAATGTGAGTCCCTCACGTAGATGGACTGAAATATTAGCCCTGTCGTCTGTAGCAGACTTCCGCTACTCTCCGGCTACAGCCAAGTATGTAGACGAAAGCGCCTGGTTAATGAACATTCACATGAGTCTGCTTTAATTAATACACACACACATCTTACCCGTCCAAGACGCATACATGCATGCGAGTTGGTGGCACGAACCCTTTGTTGACTCGTCCCACCTTTCATCGTCAATCACATCTAACTCTATGTAGCCAGCTCACGGGCTGATGGGGCGATAGAGGATGGACGAAGGGGGAGGAGGGGCAGAGAGATGGGATGTAAAACCCGCTGGGGTACTAAGGTGCTGTTGGGGTACTGCGGGGTAGTCAGGTGATGTGGGGTTACCGTAGGGGTAGCCAGGTGTTGTAAATGAACAGTATAGACAGATATACATTTAACCAGTAAGGATAGGTATCCGTCATTTAAGAATATTTTGATCGTGAAAGATTTATCGCAGTTGATTCCTTTACTATTAATCTCTAAAAGCAATAAGTTATGCGTGTAGACAATTACACCTGTTGCTGAACATTTTACATATCAATTACATAACAATACTAAAGGAGAGTAACAGATGGTATTTATGCAATGTATGGAACTTATTTGTTTTTGGATTAAAACAAATAATTAACATGATCATTGATGATTTCAATTCATGGAGAAAAAAAAATCAAAATCTGTTCCATTCTATTTTACAGGAACTATTTGTTTCTGCGCTCTAATAATATAAACTCACAGTGGTGATGAGTTTAAAAACATACCCAGAGAATAACAAGATAATTAAGAGTTTTTAATAAGGAATTAATTTGTGGGTTGTTTTTTTTGCGATCAATACTCTTTCATATGTTAAGTTAGCGGTAGGTGAAAAGAACATCCTTCCTGAGTGGATCAGAATTCAGGATAAAACCCAAAGCCTCGGGTTTTACTCCAATTCCTGATTCACTTCGGAGGAGTTCTCTGTCCACGTCCATTACATATAAGAGAGTCTTATGGTACTGTGGAATTGAATTACATCAAGCCTTTTTTATGTTTCCGATCATGGTGTATGAAGCATTACTGTCATGAAATCCAGAAGATCAATTCTCCGGACTTTTGTTAATTAGATTCGCTTCGTAACCTGCCTGGACAGGGTTCGTTTAAGCGGAACAACCGGTTCGTCGTTTTTAAAAGTACAGTAACATTTTCAGATATAAATCCTGGCAGACTTGCAAAATTTTATGCAGGCCTTGCAAGGCTTTGTCGAGGCTCGCCTGAAAATAGCATCAGATTACTAGGTCCGATCTTATTTTTTAAACGACAAACTCGGGTCCAACCGGTTCGTCCGTTTGGATCGCGATAAACATGGACATCCGATCGCGAGGTTCGTCACCCCTACTCGGCAAATATCCGCGATATACATATACTTCACACTCCACCCACCACAATAAATCGACAGTAAACAATTGTTCGTACTTACAAAGGAATGTGAACCCCACCACCACTGAATCAGAAGAGAGCACGTGCAAGAATGTCGCCCAATGAAACCTTCTCGGTGGATAAAATATAACACGATGACTACTACCCATCAACAAATGTATACTGGTTTGAAACCTAATTCCTTCAATGCATCGTCCGCGGAGAACGATAAAAAGTTCATTTTTTAAGGATCCCCGCACCACTGCTGAATATTTTCCGGCATAACTACAGTTTTGAAAAATTCATTTCAGAAAGGAAAGTATATCGTGCAGGATTTTTATGAAAAGAAATAGTATAATAAAAACAAATAGTGTTCTGAGTGTAAAACAATAGCGCGGCTCGAGCAGAAATCGAACCCTGGGCTCCAAATCGTTATAATGTCGCTCTAACCGATCTTATACTGTCGCCCTAACCAAATCGTTATACTGTCGCTCTAACCAAATCGTTATACTGTCGCTCTAACCGATCGATATACTGTCGCTCTAACCGATCCTTATACTGTCGCTCTAACCGATCGTTCTACTGTCGCTCTAACCAAATCTTTATATTGTCGCTCTAACCGATCTTATACTGTCGCCCTAACCAAATCGTTATACTGTGGCTCTAACCGATCGTTATATTGTTGCTCTAACCGATCGTTATACTGTCGCTCTAACCAAATCGTTATATTGTCGCTCTAACCGATCGTGATACTGACGCTCTAACCGATTGAGCTTCATGTTCAACGAAGTGTTCTGGTCCAACTGTGCAACAGTTACAGAATATAACTACCACCTGTCTGTAACTACCATTTGTCAATAATTCTATGTATCACCTGTCTATAACTACCACATGTCTATATATACCACACGACTATAACTTCCACCTGTCTATAACTACTACCTGTCTATATCGACCACATGACTATAACTTCCATCTGTCTATAACTACCACCTGTCTATAACTAATACCTGTCTATAACTTTCACCTGTTTATACGTACTATCTATCTATAATTTCCACATGTCTATATAACTTCCACCTGTCTATAACTTCCACCTATCATCAACTTTTCTGTATCTGTAAATAACTACCACTTATCTATAACTACTACCTGTCTATATCTACCATCTGTCTATAACTACTACCTGTCTATATATACCACATGACTATAACTTCCACCTGTCTATATCTACTACCTGTCTATATATACCACATGACTATAATGTCCAACTGTCTATAACTACCACATGTCTATATATACCACATGTCTATAACTACCACCTGTCTATAACTATCACCTGTCTATATCTACTACCTGTCTATGTATACCACATGACTATAACTACAACCTGTCTACAACTACCACCTGTCCAAAACTTCCACCTGTCTATAACTACCACCTGTCTATAACTTTCACCTGTTTATACATTCTACCTATCTGTAACTACCACCTGTCTATAACTTCCACCTGTCTATAACTTAACTACCACCTGTCTATAACTTTCACCTGTTTATACGTTCTACCTATTTATAATTTCCATCTGTCTATAACTACCACCTGTCTATAACTTTCACCTGTTTATACGTTTTACCTATCTATAATTTCCACATGTCTATATAACTACTACATGTCTATATAACTACCACCTGTCTATAACTTTCACCTGTTTATACGTACTACCTATATATAAATACCACCTGTCTATAACTTCCACCTGTCTATAACTACCACATGTCTATATATACCACATGACTATAATCCTCAACTGTCTATAACTACCACATGTCTATATATACCACATGTCTATAACTACCACCTGTCTATAACTATCACCTGTCTATATCTACTACCTGTCTATATATACCACATGTCTATAACTACCACCTGTCAATAACTTTCACCTGTTTATACGTTTTACCTATCTATAATTTCCACATGTCTATATAACTTCCACCTGTCTATATATACCATATGTCTATAACTTCCACCTGTCTATAACTACCACCTGTCTATAAATTTCACCTGTTTCTACGTTCTACCTATCTATAATTACCACATGTCTATATAACTACTACATGTCTATATAACTACCACTTGTCTATAACTACCACCTGTCTATAACTTTCACCTGTTTATACGTACTACTTATATATAACTACCACCTGTCTATAACTTCCACCTGTCTATAACTACCACATGTCTATATAACTTCCACCTGTTTATACGTTTTACCTATCTATAATTACCACATGGCTATATAACTACTTCATGTCTATATAACTCCTACATGTCTATATAACTACCACTTGTCTATAACTACCACATGTCTATAACTACCACCTGTCTATAACTACCACCTGTCTATAACTTCCACCTGTCTATATATACCACATGTCTATAACTTTCACCTGTTTATACGTTCTACCTATCTATAACTACCCCCTGTCTATAACTTCCACCTGTCTATATATACCATATGTCTATAACTTTCCCCTGTTTATACGTTCTACCTATCTATAATTTCCACATGTCTATATAACTACTACATGTCTATATAACTACCACCTGTATATAACTACCACCTGTCTATAACTACCACCTGTATTTAACTACCTTCTGTAAATAACTACCACCTGTCTATAACTACCCCCTGTCTATAACTTCCACCTGTCTATAACTACCACCTGTCTATAACTTTCATCTGTCTATATAACTACCACCTGTCTATAACTACCACCTGTCTTTAACTACCTTCTGTAAATAACTACCACCTGTCTATAACTACCACCTGTCTATAACTACTACCTGTATATAGCTACCACCTATGTATATTTTCCATCCGTCTATAACTACCACCTGTCTATAACTACCACCTGTCTATATTTTCCATCCGTCTATTACTACCACCTGTCTATAACTAGTCTCTGTAAATAACTACCACCTGTCTATAACTGTCTATAACTACCACCTGTCTATATTTTCCATCCGTCTATAACTACCACATGTCTATAACTACCACCTGTCTATATTTTACATCCGTCTATAACTACCACCTGCCGAAGAAACTAGACTCTATCTGTATCTATCACTCATTTGAAACAATCACCTGCCAATAAATATAAACTATCGATGACGATCCCCTGTCTTTAATGACAACCTATTTAGAAAGAACACCTGATTAATTGCATTCCTATTTTTATAACTATCATCTTCTTTAATGAATATCTGTCTACATATATCACATGTAGACAAATACCACCTGTCTAAAATCACTTGTCTATGACGACCACCTGCCTATAAATATCACCAGGCGGTTGATATTTGTTCGTACGTAAAGGATATATCAGTTTGACATTTTGTTGGCACAAATTCAGTGTGGGTGGTTGGGTGTCGCAGTGGATAGTGCACCCGCTTTTCACTAAGACGGCCGGGATTCGATTCCCCGATTGGAAGAAATGAAAAAGTATGGGGTCAGCTGCCCGACCACGTGGGTTTTCTCTGGGTACTCCAGTTTCCTCCCACATTAAGACCCCCTGTGTGCTAACATATGGGTCAACGAGAGTGATTGATAGCTTGTTTAATAATTGTTGTAAAATGATCCCTGTTTAGTTAATAGACGCTCGCGATTCACGAGTTGCTTCCCTTTGGTCGCATTTTGTAGGAGGTGGTAGAATGGTTTGGTTTGTTTGTTTTTTACGTCCTATTAACAGATATGGTCATTTAAAGACGTGCCAGGTGCAGGTGGTAGATGCGAGCCGATGACAGTTGAAAATGATAGACGATAACTATAACCTGTCTATAACTATTACCTGTCTATAACTATAACCTGTCAGCTGTCACTTGTGTTCGTTTCATTATATTATCAACCTGTCTAATAAGACCGTCTGTCAATCAAGACCGCTTAAGCTTTATTCCATACATCTGCTTATTTGTTTGCATTTTAAATTTATGCCATTTAAGGACTAACACATCTTGTCAATTTCATAGGGTACTGAATTTAGTTTATATTAAAATAAATGTAACGAACAGCGAAGCAGTTCATGTTGAAACTGTCTCCAGCCATCATCCCATCACATCGACGAAAGCAATATTCAATCCATTCGTATTTTATCAATTAAAAACGTTTGTTAATAAACGGAACTCGAGTAAGTCTACCATCAGGCAATATATAAATTAGTACTTGTATAAGTCTACACCTGATCAGGACATCAACATATAGTCCGTCAATGTTAGTTGTAATGGACAATGACTATATCGTTATATACTGAGTGAGTTCCTTTATGTACCACATCAACAAACCGTAAGTCACACAATATATCATGTCAAGAAACAGTGTCAAAATATACAAAACGTCAACAAACCGGGGCAAAAAGTACCACAACGTCAAAATAAAAGGACAAATATACCACAACGTCAACAAAAAGGGACAAAATTTAACACTGTGTCAACAAAAAAGGACAAAATATAACACAGCGTCAAAAAAAGGACAAAATATAACACTGCGTCAAAACAAAAGGACAAAATTTAACACTGCGCCAATACAAAAGGACAAAATATACCACAACGTCAAAACAAAAGGACAAAATATACCGCAACGTCAATACAAAAGGACAAAATATAACACTGCATTAATACAAAAGGACAAAATATAGCACTGCATCAATACAAAAGGACAAAATATAGCACTGTGTCAACAGAAAAGGACAAAATATAACACAGCGTCAAAAAAAGGACAAAATATAACACTGCGTCAAAATAAAAGGACAAATATACCACAACGTCAACAAAAAGGGACAAAATTTAACACTGTATCAACAAAAGAGGACAAAATATAACACAGCGTCATAACAAAAGGACAAAATATAACACTGCATCAACACAAAAAGACAAAATATAACACTGCGTCAGAACAAAATGACAAAATATAACACTGCGTCATAACAAAAGGACAAAATATACGTCCACGTCAAAACCAAAAAGAAAGACAAAATATACCATACCACAGCCCTATCACACATCGACAAGACATACAATTTGACCACAAGGACGAAATATAGCACTGCTTCAATACATCAGTGGAAACATACCATAGTGTCAACCTAACAAACAAGATGGATATACCACACACAAGGACCAGTACAAGTTTTTGTAAGCATCCTCAGGTTTTGACGTAGTTTACTTTTACAGCAGCGAAAATCGGCTTCCTCGAATATAAAGTAATTTACAGTAGTAGATAAAAAGAACTCAAAAATGAAAATTATAATTAATAAAAAAAAATATGCAACATACAAAATAGTCCTACTCCGGAAAACCATTCAACACTGTTAGAGGCGTTCACTCAAATTATACATATTTAAAACTACATGTAGTTTTAGGTTTTTTTAAGAATATGCAGCTGGATATATGATATCGAATTTTTTTTTTCAAAAGAATACAATAAAAAACACACCTGTATTCTCATATTGAACGATACAAATCTAAACATACATACAGCTTTTGGTTCCTGATTATGTTACTTCTTGCTAATAAATTGGTATTTTCAAGCATTTTATAAATCTTTTCTCGGATTTTTTAACACATATATACAGTTTAAAATATCAAGTACTGCGTTATGATACACTTCAAAATCTTATCCTGTCCGGCTGTGAGATTCTCTTGTGGTTTTGGACGAGTGTAGACCGACTCCCTCCTCTGGTACCTCCCCTGCAATAGTTGTGAGCGATGGGCAGCCCTGGCGGATTTAAATAACTAAGGGAGGGAACCAGTTTAGGACATACTCAAAGTGCAGAGTCAACTGTTTAGAATAACAACAGCTGCTTTACTTTCCGAGGGTCCAGTCTTTGTCCAAAGAATTTGGGTGTTTTTTTCAATTATAATTTTGGGGCGTACGGTGTAGTTTTTGGGAATTCTCTTTCATGGAAAGTTTCATCCTCGATATCCAGGAGTTACGCTCACTTTCGCTCTCTACACCCCGGTGAGCGTAACCCATGGACATCTGAAATCATCTAGCACCAATGTTTAACTATTTTTTTAGATAGTGGTTCGGTGAAAAGTTATCAGAAGTGATATAACCGAAAAAAGTGTTTTTACAATGACGCATTGTGCATTAAAAAAAACGAACACCCGCACAAAATGATTTATTTAGCATTTATTGTATAAGAAACATCTTTTCTTTTTAATTTCAACCCCAAAAACGGTTTAAACTATCTGAATTTTCTTACCAGATATTAAGTGATATTATCCAATATTGTCTAACTTAATCGCAATATCGCCGCTACTAGACGTCAAAAAACTCTAGACCAATGTGATACCATTCTGCAGTGCCGATCGGATTTTCACTAATAAATGAATGAACATTGACGTTTTTTAATTTTAATATAATTTTGACTAGGTTTTAACACCAGTAAACTCATTGTCCGAATTGTAATATTTCTGTTTTAAGGTCGGACGACGCAGGATCCCGAAAATCGTTTTGACCTAACCACAAGATAAAGATGTTTTTCTGTTTCCCCCCTTTGCTAGACCATAACGGACCATTTTCATTTCAAAGAGTTCTGTCATAGTAGTCGAAATCATTTTTGTCCAAACGAAGAGTTTATTAGAATTTGTCAGTATACAGACCATATAGAGTGTGTTTACTATGTACATCTCCTTGAAAATAAACACGAAGATTTGAACGCAAACAAACTTCTTAAGATACAAATCTATTTCACCAGTACACGCCAATACGATTTTTTTTTAAACAACATAAAGATAAAACAGAGAAAAAATGTCATCGGCCTGATCACAAACTCAATTTCAATAGTATGCAAATTTAGCTTCTCACTCAGTAAAATAGAAAAGGTGTTTCTTGAAAAATAACCAAGGACGCCATTCCAGCTGTCAACTTTTGACATTACTCGCTTACTATTATCCTCGGCATGAAAATAAACAAAGATTCCTAACACTGTACAAATATAAAGGGACACGAGATCAGAGTCAAAATGCGACATTCCGCCATCACAAGAGGTAATCACAAACAAAACTTGGCATTTGCAAGCGACTTAGAACATGAGATATGTCCCGAACAAAGTTAAACGCACATTGAACAAAGGGCAATAACTCTACACAAAGAGGCACCAGAGACCCGAATTTGATATGCGAAACTCGGCCAATACTTGCAGAATATTTACAAATTAAAAGTGACAGGGTATTGGGGATATACCTGGGTAATGTAACGGACGGACAGACGGAGAAAGGACGAACAATTAAACCCACTCAAGTGGGTACTGGTGAGAGGCTTAGAAGTGTCAAGCGTTTTACTGTAATGACTCGGGGAGAGCAGTAAAGTGAGGAATGGCTTCTAATTTCTATTTCATATTCCTTGACAATGAGTAATGCCAAGACATCAGACAACTAGAATGGACAACAGATTTGTGGTTTGGCACTTAATAGCACGCGTTTACTTGGTATTTATCATCTTCGCTAGCAAAGGGTTACGATCTGTTACGATCTACCTTAATAGATTAAGGCCTGCACTGGCTGTATAACAGGGAAATCAGATTGCATGATAAACTTAGAGTAGGTAGACTGGATCGTACCGAATTACGCTTAACCGTTGACTAACGAAGATGGGTACATCAATACATAGTTAGTAAGGTTAAATCGCCCTTTTTATAGCTATTCTGATTTGATCTGAAATTCAAAATTGTCAAATGTTTGTGGTTGGTGTGTTTTTATAGAATGCCGCCTGTCCAACGCTATCCCCCAGAAAGCTGAAGCTGTTGTATCCCAGCTTTGACATCAGCGGTATCAGTCTGGTTGTGTAGATGTCACGATTCACCTGTTGAAGGTATACACATTCTGGACCCATTTGTTCCACGTCACATTTGACCTTGAGTTCAAACATACCCAAAGGTGTTGTCGTCTCTATTGTGCTGCAGTCCACGTTCAAGAAGGTCACGCGCTTGTTGTTGGCATCCCATACCGGCCATGTTTTAGGGAAAACTGCAAGACGAAATCAAACAAATCATATGAACCGGAAGTGGTCCGTTGTAATAAGCAAAGCTCAAAATGCACAATCGGGAACCGTCAGCACTTTCCGTATTTTCTTGTTTACGGAAAATGCCGACGGTTCCCGATTGCAAAATGTACTGTTTCGAAGTTTTGTAACAAATTAAAAATAATGAATCAAAAATAATGCTCGCTTCTTTCACGCCTGTACTAAATTATACAAGTTGTCCTAGCATATTAAAATCAACTTCTTCTGTATCGAAATAATAGTGAAAGTAAGCGAAAGGTTCAGCCAGTTGAACCGATTGAGTCAGATGATGAATACAAACTTACCTTCTGTTGTACGAGATGCTGTGTCAGGGGAGGTAAATCTATCAGCACGGATCCTCTCAAAATCTGGAGCAGTCCGAGTCTGAAATAATATAGAAAATAAATCAACTATTTAGTAAAAGTTATTCTTCCCTGGTTATTACTTCGAATACTTCCTTACTTCTCTGAGTGTCATGCACACCTGACCGAGAGAGAATGTCGTGGAAGTATTTACAGCACTGACGTTTCATGTGAAGGTATTTTAACTTTCTGTAACACATCTCCCCTTTACCACTGGTTCCCATTATCCATTGAACTGCTCTCAACGCTTACAAACCCACAACATCGATTGTAGCCGGATTATAATCGCCCTACGGTATACACAAAGACATGGGTTTGTGAAGTAAATTTAACAAATCAACGGAACAAAAATCAATTCAAATTTCAATTCATTGCTGTGGAGAAAAACCGATCTATCTTTAAAGTAGGGTTAAAGGTTATACAAATTCAAACTGTGGGAAGTATTCACAGACGCTTTTTACAGGCCTGGGTTTTGAACAAGGACGCTGACACCTGCTAGTGTAAGCCTCCTGTAACATTCGCTACCCGAACCGCATGTACAGTCGATGGCCTGTGCGATATTTATAAATAATTCAAAAAAATTATGGAAGAATGTAGACAAATCTGTTGGTACAATGTTGTCTTGAAGAACACAAATCTTCAGGAATTCTATTTAATATTAAAGATTCTATATACATGTAATAATAAACCCGATAGCTAACTGACTGGGTAAAATATTCGCCTTTTCATAATTATTCGTTTTCATGATTTACTCAATATCACATTTGTGTAATACGTACATGTTAAATGGGGTGTATAGCTCTCATAATAAAGGAATAGGTAAGCATTAATCAGCACAGAAACTGGAACATTTCATTCCAATTAATTTCAGATTTTTTTTCTATTCAAGAATGAAAGTGAGCACTTCAGTGCTTTTATGAGCAGCATATAATTGACTTCCCATTGTTTCATAAAACAACACCTGGCTATTGTTGATAGATATGTTGGCACTCAGAGAACAACCCGTTACATGTCACGCGCGATAGACATACGGTCATAATGTAATAAACGCAGTTACTCAAGAGTAATCTTGCGCAGACGACATGTATACAGCTGCAAACAAATGTATTGACTCAATGTTTACCATGACACAAAATCTTGCACGTACCGACTGATACCCGAGTTTATTAGCGTGTGTTTTGTGTAACCGCATTTAAAGGGGCATCACGTGAAGTATCTTTATTTTTTGTCTTTTTTTCAAATACTACATAAACATATCAAGTGAGACTCCTTATGGAAAATAACGATCGGATGTGGCTGAAATAGATTCATAAAAAATGTTCAGGGATTTCACTCTACTAGCGCATGCGCACAGCACACCATTTCTTTGTAAACAAAATGGCTGGCCGTGTGAAGTTATAAGTGAAAGAAAAGTGTTGTACCGTGTCAGCTACGAAACGAAAAGTTGACAAATGGTCAAAAGATATCGCAAGGAGTACGTTACGGAATCATTATTGCAGGTTGGCAGTTTTCAAAGGAGAAAATAACTGCCGTAGCAGTTGGTACGGTGCATGTATTCTTCCGGATAGCCGGTTAAGCTGAAATGGAATCGACAGAAATGCTAGCGCTGTTTATGTTATGAATAAATATCTAAACTATTAAGCTCGCTAGTATCTTTGTCTGAGTTTGAACACAGATGAACTTAGCTTAATATGTTAATGGGCATGTATTGGAGAGAGTTTACTTTGTGTTTCTATAGTGGTTTATGCGAAAGGAAGGGATAAGTGACTGGTTAGTTTGTTTTTTCAATGAGGCCCTCCAAGGGATAACTGTTGTGATGGCCCACGGCGTATTTTCTGGGTCACCGTGATACGTGTTATCGAAGTCCGTGGATTTACATGGTACATAATTTATAATATTACCGGGTTCAATAAAATGGTATGATTTAATTATATTGCTGAATTAAACGATTATTTTTGTTTTCATATGCAAGATTTAAATTAGTACTGATATGAATACCCGGCCTCCTCTGCCCCGGCAACATATAAAAAAAACTCAGAAAGGTTTGACCCTTGGTGTAGGGAAGGTGTTTAGCCCCGCACCATCTGTACCGGCCACATTCCGGTACTAAATTCAATGTATATTTAAATATATCTACTTTATGTTTATGCCCATTATCATTGTTGACATTTAATTGTAAATGTATGACGGGAGAAGGCTGTGATAAATTATAAAAACTTGTGCCCCATCCCTTGTTTAATTTATTGGCAACACATTTATGTTAAAAGCTAAATAAATTTAAATTCTGAATATTGGCAAGTGTGCAATTAACTTCTAATGATGAATAATTACTGTTCAATAAGTTTGAATACGGACTTAGAAATCATATAACTTGGTTTCATAGTGCGGTAAGAAGTTGCAGTTGCCTAACGGCCCCTCTCTGGGGGCCCCTTTGGAAACCGTCTCATCTCGCTCGCACGACTTGTGTTTACTGCCTAGCCAGGTGACGTTATAGGCGCTAATTTTAGCAGGGCTTTCCCGAACAATTCAAGTGGTCAAACTGGACATTTGGAACGGACTATGAATATGGGGATAGCGTGGTAACATAAGTGGAAGTGCATACAATACATACATTCATTAAAAAAAACGCCTTTTCACGTGATGTCCCTTTAAAGGTAAACAGAATAGTCAAACATTTTTAGATGTTAAACGGCACGTTCTCGTCCTCGACTTACTAATGTAGCCCATTAAATCACGATCTATTCTAAATCACGATCTATTTAGAGTAATACTAAGCGACAGCCCACCATGGATATCTAAATAAAAATGCATACCACTACTTCCCATAGTGTCACCTTTATGTAGATTGGACAAATACTATTTTTCTATACTAAAATCAATTTAGTATACCAATTAACTTTGACCTTTTACTCAAAACGAAAATCTATCGGTAGAATCAAACACTACAGAGAATCTTTAGATATGTACAAAACTTCATGAGGTCCAGTAGTAGTTTTTGAAATGTTTTATAATATTGAAATTAATATTCAACATTTTTGTGCCTGGCAATGTCATTTCCGTGATTTTATTATTGTATTCAAGGATAAGGTGTGGATAGGGCATAGTCCTCTGCACACAAAATTAGCAATAAATGTGTTTTAAGTTGGGCCAAATAAACCCGAATATAAATATGGCTTCATTTTTTAAAAACACAAGTCATATGGCGTTTACAGACGGGCACAGTCGTGGTGTAAACATGTATGTACAAGGTACCACTATGTCGATCTGTGGTAACATTACAACTGAACGTTGGTTTGGTTTGGTTTAGTATAACATACGTCCTATCAACATCTATGGTCATTTAAGGACGGCCTCCCCTGTATGCAAGATGCATGCGTTTAGTGTATGCGTGTGTGTTTTGGGAGGCTGCGATATGTTCGTGTTTGTCTCCTTGTGATAGCGCGGAACTGATGCCGACTTTATAGTGCTACCTCACTGAAATATACTGCGAAAGACCTCCCAGCAGGACACCCCTACCGGTCACATTATACTGACAACGGGCGAACCAGTCATCCCACTCCTAAATTGCTGAGCGTTAAGTAGGAGTAGAAACTACCATTTTAACAGACTCTGGTATATCTCGGTCAGGGGACAGAACCCAAAGCCTTCCTCACAGGGCCTCAACTAAAGGCCAAAAGTGAGGCATTGTCAAGGTAGACATGAGCAAGAAGAAAGTTGTTCAGAAAGAAGAGAAAAGATAAGGTCCCAAATTTAGTCGCCTCTTACGATCATGCAATTGGGACAGCAGGTACAATTATTACGCCCTACCTGCAGGGACGACAACTGAACATATATAATAGATAAGATACCACACCACTACAGTGTTAATAGTGAGAGACACTAAACATCTTATATTTCTCTCTGTTAAAATGTTAAAAGTTCCATCTTGGGTTTAGAGAAAATCCAAGCAGTTTTTATAAGTCATTAGATACAGTGATAATCGCATCAGATAAAAACGTTTATCTGAAGTATCTATTGACAGGTAAAACGTCAGTCTGACTTAAAAACTAGTAACAGGTAAAACGTCAGTCTGACGTAGTAACTAGTGACAGGTAAAACGTTAATCTGACGTAGTAACTAGTGACAGGTAAAACATTAATCTGACGTAGTAACTATTGACAGGTAAAACGACAGTCTGACGTAGTGAATATTGACAGGTAAAACGTTAATCTGACGTAGTAACTATTGACAGGTAAAACGTCAGTCTGACGTAGTGACTATTGACAGGTAAAACGTTAATCTGACGTAGTAACTATTGACAGGTAAAACGTTAATCTGACATAGTAACTAGTGACAGGTAAAAGTTTATCCAACGTAATAACTAGTGACAGGTAAAACGTCAGTCTGACTTAAAAACTAGTAACAGGTAAAACGTCAGTCTGACGTAGTAACTAGTGACAGGTAAAACGTTACTCTGACGTAGTAACTATTGACAGGTAAAACGTTAATCTGACATAGTAACTAGTGACAGGTAAAAGTTTATCCAACGTAATAACTAGTGACAGGTAAAACGTCAGTCTGACGTAGTAACTAGTGACAGGTAAAACGTTAGTCTGACGTAATAACTAGTGACAGGTAAAACGTCAATCTGACGTAGTAACTAGTGATAGGTAAAACGTTTATCTAACGTAATAACTAGTGACAGGTAAAACGTTAGTCTGACGTAGTAACTAGTGAGAGGTAAAACGTTAATCTAACGAAACAACTAGTGACAGGTAAAACGTTAGTCTGACGTAGTAACTAGAGACAGGTAAAACGTTAGTCTGACATAGTAATCAGTGATAGGTAAAACGTTAGTCTGACGTAGTTACCACTGACAGGTAAAAAGTTATTCTGACGTAGTAACCAGTGACAGGTAAAACGTTGGTCTGACGTAGTAACTAGTGACAGGTCAAACGTTAGTCTGACGTAATAACTAGTGACAGGTAAAACGTTAGTATCACGTAGTAACTATACTGGGGAAACGTTAGTCTGACGTAGTAAATAGTGACAGGTAAAACGCTAGTCAGACGTTGTAACTATTGACAGGTGAAACGTTATTGTAACGTAGTAACTAGTGACAGGTAAAACGTTAGTCTGACGTAGTAACTAGAGACAGGTAAAACGTTAGTCTGACATAGTAATCAGTGATAGGTAAAACCACAGTCTGACGTAGTTACCACTGACAGGTAAAAAGTTATGCTGACGTAGTAACCAGTGACAGGTAAAACGTGAGTCTGACGTAGTACCTATTGACAGGTATAACGTTAGTCTGTCGTAATAAGTAGTGACAGGTAAAACGTTAGTCTGACGTAGTAACTAGTGACAGGTCAAACGTTAATCTGACGTAATAACTAGTGACAGGTAAAACGTTAGTCTCACGTAGTAACTATACAGGTGAAACGTTAGTCTGACGTAGTAAGTAGTGACAGGTGAAACGTTAGTCTGACGTAGTAACTAGTTACAGGTAAAACGCTAATCTGACGTTGTAACTATTGACAGGTAAAACGTTAGTGTGACGTAGTAACTAGTGACAGGTAAAACGTTAGTCTGACGTAGTTACTAGTGACAGGTTAAACGTTAATCTGACGTAATAACAAGTGACAGGTAAAACGTTAGTCTGACGTAGTAACTATACAGGTGAAACGTTAGTCTGACGTAGTAAGTATTGACAGGTGAAACGTTAGTGTGACGTAGTAACTAGTGACAGGTAAAACGTTAGTCTGACGTAGTAACCAGTGACAGGTAAAACGTGAGTCTGACGTAGTAACCAGTGACAGGTAAAACGTGAGTCTGACGTAGTAACTAGTGACAGGTAAAACGTTAGTCTGACGTAATAAGTAGTGACAGGTAAAACGTTAGTCTGACGTAGTAACTAGTGACAGGTAAAACGTTAGTCTGACGTAATAAGTAGTGACAGGTAAAACGTTAGTCTGACGTAGTAACTAGCGACAGGTCAAACGTTAATCTGACGTAATAACTAGTGACAGGTAAAACGTTAGTCTCACGTAGTAACTAGTGACAGGTTAAACGTTAATCTGACGTAATAACTAGTGACAGGTAAAACGTTAGTCTGACGGAGTTACTAGTGACAGGTTAAACGTTAATCTGACGTAATAACTAGTGACAGGTAAAACGTTAGTCTCACGTAGTAACTAGTGACAGGTTAAACGTTAATCTGACGTAGTAAGCAGTGACAGGTGAAACGTTAGTCTGACGTAGTAACTAGTGACAGATTAAACGTTAATCTGACGTAGTAAGAAGTGACAGGTGAAACGTTATTTTGACGTAGTAACTAGTGACGGGTAAAACGCTAGTCTGACGTTGTAACTATTGACAGGTAAAACGTTAATCTGACGTAGTAACCAGTGACAGTTAAAACGTGAGTCTGACGTAGTAATCAGTGACAGGTAAAACGTGAGTCTGACGTAGTAACCAGTGACTCAAACGTTAGTCTGACGTAGTTTAGTTTAGTTTATTGGCCTTTAGCCTTTCGGCTAATCAGCATAAACATTACAATACATTTTACAAAATGTAGTGATTGATACACAGCAATACAGACATGTTCTGGAGGATGGACAATATATGTAATTTTTCATTTAATCTCAGTTGTGAAGCAGAAATTAGAAATTTGGAAAGATTATTCAATTTCTTCTTATTTCTAACAGAAAGTAAGTTAATTAATTTAAACATAGACGGTCTAATTATCTGTCAATGTATTGTGTTCTTGCATCGTTGTAAAATGGACAAACAAGAATAAAATGCAATCCGTCCTCTATATCGTCTAAATTACACTTTAAACATAGTCTTACATTACGAGTTTTTCTCTCATATCTGCCAGTTTCTATACGAAGGTCGTGTGAAGATTATCTAAATTTCGCAATGGTTAAAATAGTTACTAGTGACAGGTAAAACGCAAGTCTCACGTAATTCCTAGTAACAGGTAAAACTATGACAGGTATAAGTAGTGACAGGCATTTTGATAGTCCGACATTGTTACTCGTAACAGCTACATTTGTATAAGACGTACTAGAGGTTGTCTGATGTTCATACACGTACGTAGCTTTGTGTATAAACATTACTCACCTTGCCCCCGTTTTCCGGATTCACGACCTTCAGCCTCTGTTTACAACTGGTTGAAGATAAAGCTCGGACGAAATGGTGGACGACCCGTCGAGCAGAATTCGATGACGCCAACATTTTGTTGTCGGGGGAAAAACTGCTACCCTCCAACAGGGGACCTGAATAGTGCTGTGTCCGGGATCACGCTTCTCCCCGGCGGTTTTGTTGTTGTACACCTAATCCAGCACACATGTACCAGGCTATTTATAGCACACTATATATGTAGCCGTAAGCTAGGAGATATTATACTCGTTATGCTAGAGCATTAGATATTATCAATCAAGTTTGATAAAATTCAAGAGTGCGGTTCTAATGGCATTGTGTATTTTTTGTTTAATCAGAAATATAGTTTCTGCTGATATAAATATAGCGTCACGTACATCAGAATTGGCCGCTTATTAATTGGCACATGTCAGCGTATGGTATTTTTGTTAAGGGTTCATTCTAAATACAATACAAAGCTAACAATGTTAAATGAATGAAAAAAAATGTATTTCACATGAAGAATTTTGCTTTTATAGCAGGCGAGGTGGCTCAAGAGGAATGTTTTTCATGAAATCAGGTAAATCCTAAAATTAGCTTATACCAAAAGTATATAATTGACCTCGCATTGTTTCGTTAAAGGGCTGGCCTGTTGTTTAAGAATATGTTGGCACTCGATCGGGGAACACATTATAGTGTTTTTATGGGTGCAGACTTGTTAGCTTTATATAGTCAAGTCAAGTCAATTTTGTTTATTATAGTGTCATATATCACAATTACATCGTACAATATATTTTCATTCTGGACAGCTCTTATACCGAATCCAGCACACATACACACGTACAACACACACGGAGACACGTTCTTTAAGGTTCAACAAGCCTGGTAATTTGAAAGTCCTTTTAAACAGTAATATAATCATTTGCAAATATATAGATCATCATATATCAGTAGATTCGTTGGAATATGTAGTTTCCAATTAAGGTAGTTAATTCTGTAAACAGTGGTGTTGAAAATGTATGTTGTATCTTAAAATTGCAATTTTTGTAACATGTGCCCTATTCTCCATTTAACTTGTATGTGGAAAAATTAGTACCAATATTATCCCTAACATGCATATGAAGGTCCCCCCGTATTAAAACATGACAAATTGGTACTATTCATGTACAATACAGCCATTTATGTCATAGTGACTGAGTTTACAGAAAGATAAAAATAGCCGTAACTACTTTTTCAAATATCTGGAGGCCTAACGTGGCCAAACTACCAATTCTAAAGTATATAATCACACATGAACAAAAACACAATTAAATTTAATTATGAGTTCTGGTTCTCATTCCCCTGTACCAAACTAAATCATTTTGTTCACTTTTATTCTGTATTTAGCCTATTAATACCCATTTTGCTGTAATAATGTTATACCATATTTTGTATACTCATGCTATTCTCATTGTCAATCAATACGCAACGCGTACCTTTTCAAATGCTATTTAGATATTTACGCTTATGTATTTAATGATCCCTACCTCTACAATGGAATGATGACTGCATCAAAGCTATGGTCTTGTTCAATTGGTAGTTCAGAAATTGGTGTTCAATGCACAGTGTTCAAATTTCCAATGTCTCGTCTCCTTCGATTCCTGTATGATGCCTCTTCTCCTTACTACAATCACCTAAACCATACACACGTACATTCTTATACATTTGGTCAATATTCACCAGCATAAAAATCAAATTTAATTCCCTTTGTACATTTATATTTTAGAATGAAAGTATTAAAAATACCCTGGTGTGAACTTAGAAAATATTCGGCAATAACTAGCAATTCTTTTACAGGCTGCAGTTTTCAAAACTTTGCAAAAGTAACATAGTAACACTGTTTTCAAAAGGGTTGTCATTTGCCAACATATTCAAATATTACAGGTCAAAACCATAATTCATATATTCAAACACAAACATTACTAAGAAACACTGAACGACTTGAAGTATGATTCAAAGGTACTGGGATAGCAAGCAACTTCATTCAAAGACACTGATGGGTAATTGGCATCATTTACTGCCACTGGAGGGAAACAGACATCATTTACTACCACTGGAGGGCAACAGACATCATTTACTACCACTGGAGGGCAACAGACATTATTTACTGCCACTGGAGGGCAACACACATGATTTACTACCACTGGAGGACAACAGACATCATTTACTGCCACTGGAGGACAACAGACATCATTTACTGCCACTGGAGGGCAACAGACATCATTTACTGCCACTGGAGGGCAACAGACATCATTTACTGCCACTGGAGGGCAACAGACATCATTTACTGCCACTGGAGGGCAACAGACATCATTTACTGCCACTGGAGGGCAACAGACATCATTTACTGCCACTGGAGGGCAACAGACATCATTTACTGCCACTGGAGGGCAACAGACATCATTTACTGCCACTGGAGGGCAACAGACATCATTTACTGCCACTGGAGGGCAACAGACATCATTTACTGCCACTGGAGGGCAACAGACATCATTTACTGCCACTGGAGGGCAACAGACATCATTTACTGCCACTGGAGGCTAACACACATCATCTACTGGCACTGGAGGGCATTACTCAACATTTCGTGGCACTGTAGGGCAAAGCAGTTAATAATTATTTTCACAATAAAAATACAAAATAATTCTCTTTCTTCATTCATGTGGTTAGCATGAAGTTATTAAAAAAACCTTGTGTGAAGTTACAAAATATTAGGCAATAACTAGCAATTCTTTTAGGAGCTGTAGTTTTCAAAACATTGTACACAATTTGGGCAACAGTAAGTAAGTAACAATGTTTTATAAAGGGGTGGTATCTAAATAATATCTAAATAATAGGTGCAATTTACTATGCCAACATATTGAAATATTACACGTCAAAACCATAATTAACATATTTAAACACAAACATTACCTACAAACACTAAAGGGTTACAAGTATGATTCAATGGTACTGGTTGGCAACCAACTTCATTCACAGACACTTATGGGTTATGGGTGTCATTTACTGGCACTGGAGGTCAACACACATCATTAAGCAGCACTGGAGGTCAACACACATCCTTTAGCAGCACTGGAGGGCAACATACATCATTTACTGGCACTGGAGGGCAACACACATAATTTAGCAACACTGGAGGGCAATAGACATCATTTACTGGTACTGGAGGTCAACACACATCATTTAGCAGCACTGGAGGTCAACACACATCATTTACTGGCACTGGAGGGCAACACACATCATTTAGTGGCACTGGAGGGCAAGAGACATCATTTACTGGCACTGGATGGCAAGAGACATCATTTAGTGGCACTGGACAGCAACAATCAATATTCGCAAGCACTGATGGGTAATGGGTGTCAGTCAAGAGGCATCATTCAAAAGAACTGCAACACACCCACCATCATTCACAGGCATGGACGGCTACAGGCATCATTCAGAGGCACTGAAAGGGAACCAACATCTTCATTTTAATGTTTAGCAATTATTCATAAAAACAATGTACTGATTCTATTAATAACCACAACTTCAATTGTTTATAATAAGGTTTCAAACTCTTATACAAATGTATAATGTGTTCTGTTCACTTACATGTATTTGTAACAACAATTTGTCAACACTGAATTTTCAAATTTTACAACTATTTTAATGGAACTTGAAATACATATGCATCCCCAACAAATGGTGTGCATACTATTTATTGTAATCACATCTAATTTACATCTCATATTCAAAAGCACATTCTTAGTACTAGTAATTACGGACAATGCCTTTTAAGTGTAAAATTCCGTCTTTGCGTATTGCAGAGTTATCTTCTCTTGGGAGCAGGGATTGATTGTTACGTCATTGGTTTGTGTGAGAAAATTACGTCGTTTTCTCCAAAATTGATGACGTTACTCTCACAAACAAGTGACGTAACAATCAATACCTGCGCCCAAGAGAAGATAACTCTGCAATGCGCAAAGACGGAATACATACTTTATCTTACCTGTAATCTATAAATCAATAAACTTGACAAGGCCAGCTCCGTAATCCTCTACCAAATGATTCACTTCATATGTAGCATCCTCATCCTCATAGATGTTCACATAGACAGCACCCAAGGCTCCATCTCGTCCCTGTATACAGATATACTGACAAGTAACAAGTAAAGTTCGCTTAACTGGATAATGCCATGTTTGCTGCCATACATATTGAATAGATGTGAGCAAGTACCAATGGTATTACATTCATAATAATCATTGTTAATTCCAAATTACACACATAACTTACGATATATTATGACACTTTTTTAATAGAATTCATATGAGAAATGCTACCCTAAGAATAGGCCTCCACATAGTTTGTATTATAAGTAAATAGTTTTCAACCAATTCTGTCCTAGATTAATGTTTGAATAACACACCTGATTCAGCGACAGAACGTTGCCACTGTACCAGCTGTTGGTGCCCTTCTGTTCGTCAAACCACTGATGGGATATGGTTCGGCCCACAAATTTGGTAATGCGAGTTCTATATCAGCAATGGAAAAATACACAATAAACATTTATTTACTGTAAATTTTGAAATAATGTACACATCTGAAATCTATTTTCAACTATGTAATGATTTAAATGTGAGCATTAACATGGTTATTTTCAAACTTTTTACTGCAACAGATTAGATTTTTTGGGGATTGAATATTTCCCATATATTTCAATCACTTCAAGCAACTAACTGTCTGACAAAAACGTTGCTCACCATCCTGAAATAGTGTGTTTAGTTGATTATTAACTTCCCCAATATATACTTTTAATATACTTCCTCCATATGTACTTTTGATAAATATATTAATAGCCAACTACACAGAAAGCAAATGTATATGGTACATCAATTTCACCTTGAACATCTGGTTCTTGGAACAACAACAGTTGAAGACCCAGGCACCTCCGTCACATGCGCAACAGCTTGGTGTTCACGTGTACCGGTTTTCTTGTGAGGTACTGTATCTGCTTCTGCTTTCTTTGTTCCAGTATTGAACTGCAAATAGTACATATATCACATTGATGTGTACGGTAAGGAAGGTTTGCACAAGTGACGTTCAATACAACCATTTTGCCATAATACAAAGAGTATTGTCTCAAATTTCACATGTATGTTTTAGGTGAATTCATTGTTCCATAATTCCATCTGAAGTACTTCATTGAATGAGATATTCAGGAATACTATTAACATCATCTCTTAACATTTATTAGTTATATTGTAGTGTATGTGATATAAGGTGAGAAAGTATGTTCAATTCATCATGAACATGAAATTGTCACAAACACATTTTATGTCATCAGAGGTTACAATCAGCTTGCCATGAAGAAATAATACTGTATTTTGTATTTGAATATAATTTCACACACTTACCTAGGAATCATTGAATTTTATAAGAAACATGTTGCAATAATAAACAGTTTCTTGTAAATAAACACCATTACAAAATTAATGTAATGTACAGCCTGTACCATACACATGTACATGTACACCTACCCATACACCTGGTTCACGGATTCCCGGATTTTTTCCATGCCGGGGAGCAGCCAACTCCAGCAGAAGAGCTTTGGTGTAAAAGGCATTTAACTTCGGAACCATGGTTTGGGACCAGAAACTCCTGTCTTTCAACATGAAAATCATATGGGTTCTCTGTGCGAACTATGAAGTCACACCATGGCAGGTTGGGGATGTTTAGGAGACCTTGGCACTGGTAGAAGTAGTTGTCTTTTTTTTAACGTCACATTCCCTTTTACAAGTTCAAAACAGAAATTGTTTATCATATAAACGATTTTTGACTTCAATGAGGCCAACCTTGCCATGCTCCTTGTAGACAACTCCATCAGGACTACATGCCAGAAACTGGTGTGTGGGGTGTATCACTAGTCCTGAAGGATTTAAGGTGAGCATTTCCTTTGCTTTCAGTTGCAGATACTCTGTCTTTGCTACATCCTCATTACACAGGCCAATATTGGTAGATCTTGTTCCCCTGAACTTCGAGTAAAGCAACTGTCGTATAAGAGGGTCAACTTTCAGAGTGGTTTTTCTTTTAATAATCTGGCCAAAATGGGTTGATGTCAGTCACTTTTTCCTCTCCTCTTTCCATATCATTGACTTTGACTGCCCTTTTGTGGATACTTTAATGGTGTCTATTTCCTTCAAACTGATTTGCTGCCTCTCCATATAGCTCGTCTTCTGTTGCTCCAGGTCTTCAGCTGAAATGTCCATGTCGATGTCTCGGGCCTCTTCCCCATATTCTAATCTTGCTTTTTTGGTACTATTCACCTTTTCAATGGTACGCTTTCTTTTCAAACGCCTCATGTAGCTGTGTGGCTGTGCCTTAGCTCTTTTGCATGTCCGTAGGTTAGTAGCCCGTCTTTTGAAGTGTCGAGAGAATAGCCTGCCAGGGCGAGTACTGGTGCACTCCTGCCAAGTAAGAGTGACCATTCTGGGCCGATGTTTAGCCGTAATGCCCCTGCATAGCACCGAGTATGCCATGACCAGCGATTACAATGGTTGAACACTTTTCCATCATCATACCTTGTACGGATGTGCATCCAGCACTCGGCAAGGTTGGTTGTAAAGTTGCCAATCAGGCGGTCACTTTTATCGGCCACTCTGTTAAGGAGCGTGGGTACTTTCTGCCGCAGGTCCGTGCACTGATCCAGGTCTTTAGTGTTTAAATTGGAGTTGCAACGAGACTGCTCTTGTTCTTGTAAGGATGCACCATCCGCCCACAGGCTGGCCTGCTCACCCATCACACTCTGAGCATTTTCCCCCTCATGGTCAGTTTCGTCTACAGAGTTCCTGGTAATATTTACTTTAGCCTTGCAGAAGTCAGCACTACAATTGCTATGTTCCCCATAAATATGGTGCACGGAATTCCGTATGTCGTGTGCAAGTTTTTTGACTGCTTTCTTCTTGTCGGAGACAGATGACCTCATCCGAATGGCACATCTTACTGCTGTTACTAGCCGGATTCTGGTTTGATTTGCTAGTTTGCCACGACCTTTAGAATGAGGATTTGCATCGACAAGCTTCTCCAGGTTGTTTCGCAGGCACTTACACGCATGATTTGCACACTCCATCTTCGTTACGCTGCAACCCTAAACTGGAACTTTTTCACGGATATTGGCAAAAACAGATGAATCCCCATCGCCTATAAGTCGCATGTAACGCACACCATGATTTTAGATTTTAAGAAGCCCTCCACAATTATGTCCGCCTCCATTGCTTGACTGGACTTGTTCCAGTTTTTAAAGCAGTCATGAACCTGGGGTGTGCAACCCAAACTTTCTGCACGGGAACATAAACTGCAATGTTTGTTTCTTACACCATTGTGTAACAATTTGTTTGTCTGTGCCCCTATTATTATGGCAACACCTCCCATCGCGTTATAGCTGTGCTTGTGAGAGTGCTTCGACCAGCCTCCATCACATATAACAGTAATTGCTGGTACTCCTAAAATGTAAATTAATAAATTGAACAAGAGGCAAAAGGGCCTTAATGGCCTTAAAAGTCATCTTAGTTATTTTATAGGTAGTTAACATTGGTGAGATGTGAATTGGAAACTAAGACAAAT